GGCTTTGTTGAATAATTCATTGCAAGAGTAAATAAATGGAATTTTGCACTAGTACCCAGTCCCCTTATCAAATTATTTTTGAATTTCGGTGCTGTCTAAAATATTAACTTAAAATGCCCGGACACAGAAATGATGTACCCACTAGTCTCATAACTATGACGATAACTGCAACTTCCAGAAAGTAATTAAAAATGGTGCCATATTGTCAAAAAGATTTTTGTGCTAAAAATTCCCTTGATAGGTCACGTGACAATTAGTGACTCCAATCATCATTCAAAGTTATTAAACTTCTACCCAGGAAGTTTGTCTTCAAGTTATTTTGCGCTATATTGAAAACTTAAGAAGTTAGACCCCCCCCACCCCGCTGTTTTTGAGGAATTAAATAGAAGACCCATACATGCCTTAATTTTCTTGAGCAGACAAAGACATAGTAGAGCAGCCAAACACATAAAAAACATCTTCTCTTCCTCAGGATTCATCACTCTTAAAACGTTCTTGACCTAGATGAAATTACTTCCATAAGCAAAAAAGAATTTTAAAAAATATAAACAAGCAATTACTAAAAGTACAACTCCTCGTTTTACTTTATCACCTGCTTGTACTCTGGAAATTTACTCGCGTCTTCCAGCCGTAACGTCAGCTCTTACTTTCAAATTGAAACTCCTAGTCATATTTCTATGTAGTGTAGGTTACATTTTTCGAGAGAAAATGAGTACTACAAAATGTGTCTAAAAATAGACTGGTTTATGTAAACGCCTTGACATAGCTCTAGTATGGAGGCTGCTTGTACTGTCGCAATTTGTAATAATCATCGCACTTTGTAATACCTGTCGTAATAAAAAAAAGCCTGTCGCAGTTTGTAACAACTGTCCTTCGCACTTTGTAATACTCAACTAAGCTGTCACAATTTGTAATAATTCCATCGTACTTTGTAAAAAACTTCAGTTATCGCATTCTCTTCCTATAGGAAACTTATCGTGACACGTCACGAGCTAATTTCATATCTAAGGCCCGGTTCAGACGCCGTACTTTTCATGAGCCGAACCTAATACATTGAATTAAGTACATGAAAAGTTCGGCGTCTGAATCAATTAGGAACGCCTCAGCCGTTCTTTTCGCCTAGCCCGGCCGGGAATTTCGCCTTTGGATCTACTTTGGAACGCCTTTGATTCAGACGCCGAACTTTTCATGTACCGAACCAAATGCAGAAATTCTTATAACGTATTTTGTAAGCAGTTTGACCGAAATGCGCATTTTTCGCCTTCTGAATTTAGTTCGGCTGGAATTAAGATCGGCGTCTGAATCACTTTAGCCGGTCTAAATAATTTGGGTCGGTCTTAATGCGAATTAGGTTCGGCTCATGAAAAGTTCGGCGTCTGAACCGGGCCTAAGATTTTTCACTTGAAACAACCAGCAGAAGGATTTGGGTCTTTGTATTTACTTTTGAATAATCCAACCTTAGTTACCACAGCAAAAGTGAAAGATCCCTCGAGTTATAAAATAGATAAAAGTATCAGTCCCGTAAATGCGGAACAAAAAGTTTACTTCCTGCGAAAAGTATGATTTATTTCAAGTGATGCTGTAATAATGGAAAACTAACAAAGAAACAGTTCTGAGGATTCCAGCTGTATTTACATACACCTGTCATCTTCCAGAACATCCATGAGAAACTCGTGGAGCGCAATGCCATACTGCTAGGCTGATGTGCGCATTCGAAATCATGACAAAATTGTGCGGCTTTTCATATATAATAAGTTATGAAGTTCAACAGAATTGTGTGACCGAGCTCAGCAAGAATCTTCAATACCACCGACCTCAATTATAGAAAGGGAATCCAACTGGTGGAAGTTCTTCTGTATAATTTGATAACTTTTTTTTAATTAAATACGCTTTTTTAAAAAACTTTTGCACACTGGATTCGATTGATAATGAAATAAACTTTTGGTTAGACCACTAATTAACGTTCTCCCTAGAAACAAAATTGCTTGATGAGTGCTTTAGCCTGGGGGGGGACCCCGCATATGAAAGGGGTGCGGATGCTCGTTGGAAATTTTGAATTAAAGCCCTAAAGGAGACCGATCTGGGAGTGGCCAAGCTTTTTTGACCCCTAAAAGAGACCATGTTAAAACACAGACAAATGAGAAAACTTGGATTATATGAATGGAGTAAATAAAACGCATTAAAAATATACATATCAAATATATATTTTCATATTTTCTCGTATGCAACCCTAAACGAGACCTTCACGGCTAAACATGATGGCGTTTTGCCCAGAATACCCTAAGTGAGACCAAAATCCGAAATTTACACCCCTAGGGGAGACGACGAGCATCCCCACCCCTTTCATATGCGGAGTTCCCCCGCCCCCCTCCCCCCCCCCTGGTGCTTTAGCTTCGGAAACAGTCTTAATTCTACCCTATACATAACTTTGGAGGTGTATATATTAGTCTGATAGCAAAGAACGAAAGAATTACACAAAGATGCTGTGGTGATTGATAAGATAACCCGAGTGACATACCTGGAAATAGTTTAGAATTTGCCCTCATTCTCAGGATCTCAAGTCCGTTTCGTAAACCAGATTCATTAAGTAGTAAAAGGACCAGGTCAGATAAAGCCTTACTCTTACATTGTTAGTGAACACCCATCTATTCAATCCTGTCAGCTTACGTTTGAAAAAGATCAGCTCTCCCAAGTTTGACAGGACGGGGCAGAGGATCAGGAACACGCCCTTAATTAATCACCTCTTACAAAAACGGGAAAACGTTGTGTCATACATCGCCAACGTTTTTCAGCCTTATCAGTTAGTTATGAGGATCTTCTAAATAAGCCTGGAAAGGCTTCTAAGTCTTCCTGCTCAAAACTGCGAATAAAATATCGTATTAGTTAGTAAATGATCTTGGGCAAACAACAACAATAACCAAACCTTTAAATTATTTAGCTTAGTAGCTATAATTATTACTAGGAGTAATCGCAGCTTAGGAGAGTGCATTCGATATGTTTGCTAGGCGTACAGGTAGCAGTTGAGGGGAAAGGGTGGATGGTTCTTGCGATAGATAACTATGATTATGGCATATTTTGAACGTAAGGGTTGCGTAGAGCGAAACCTCGATTTAAACTGTGTATCATAATGGAAAGGTTTTGAGGGCTAGTGATCTGCGTGCTATCGTATGGTTCGTCTCAAGTGCTTGTTATTTGAGGAGACACTGGCCAGAGTGCTTCGGGCGTGTAAAAAGAACGTTTTGTTTTTTTAAAAAAACATTTCTTTGGATAATTTTCCCAGTTATTTTTAAAAGCGCCGGTGCAATCATCAACTTGTTGGAAGAATCAAGCTTTCACATCTGAGTTCAAATTTCTTCCTCGCCTGGGTTATCTTAACCCATCTTTGAACAACCCGGCCCAGGTACTGTTAAAAAGCAAACATTTGGACAAAGTTTTAGATGTAATCATTAATTTTATTTAATATAAAGAATTCCACACGTAGGCAATTACTGAAATTTACTATAAAATGCCGGAAACCGTTACTGGCAAGTCTTCTTAACTTGCGATGATATTAAAGAACGACCCAAGACCACATTTTTGTGGTGAATGCCGGGGCACAATGATTGTGTTTGAACACTGGTTGACTTACTCTACACCTCTCAATTTCACACGTTTCAAGGGAATCATCAAAGCCTTCAGTGGAATGTGTGTGTGGCTCACGACAATAACCTTTCCACTAATTTGGTCAAGTGTATTGATTTCAGTGGCTTGAGTGGCGCGACTGTGGGCTGGTCACATTTTTCCGAATAAATGACATAGAACTAAAATGTTCGTTTGTCCAGTGCCGAAAATATCACAAGTCATGATGAAATGGTGCCGCCGAGCTTCCCATCTCGGTAGATTTACTTTGTGGAATAACGGCCGCTTAGCTACACAACTCAGTAGATTTACTTTGTGGCACAACAGACGCTGAGCTTCACAACTAGCCGGTAAATTTACTTTGTGGCACAACGGACGCCGAGCTAAACAACCGGTTTGATGCAAGCACCAGGAGTAGCACGCATTTTCCAAAGAAAGGCTTAATCCAAAGTAAAATTTTACTCAGGGTGTAAACTTTCAAGACACTTTTGAAAGATGAACGCTTTGGAAGATTCATTAAACACAGATCGATAGTAGACCTTCAGGAAAACTCTTAAATAGGTACGCTTTACGAAAATTCAGCATACTTTTAAAAGATGAACGATTTACGAAAACAGAATTAGTAGCAGACCTCAGAAAACGTTTGAAAGATGAACGCCGAGGACACACGAATCACCACGTGAGTTGGCGCGTCAAAGTGAGGCAAAACGTAAGCAAGCGCCTCAAAGCGAGGCAAATGAGTGTTGACGACGAATGCAATCTCGAAAAAACCTCCCTTATTAATTGCACAGAACACCCAATAATGCACAGAACACCCAACACAAATTAGGGGTTGCGTTCGAGATACTTGAAAGTATGAAAATATGTAAATAACTCAAAAAGATAATTAAATTAATACAATGCATATCAAAAAAATACCTTAATTGCCTGTGAATGTCTATAAAAACCTATTTCCTATGAAATTAAAGATCAAAATGAACATAAATGACAATCTTTTCACAATCAGTGTCCTCAAGCACGTTTGCTAACTAGAGTCTCTTCGTCTTATATTTCTGATAAACAAGTTAAGTTATCACTATTTTTATCTACATAAGATATATAGATAAAAACTAGAAAAATCGCGTGAGTATCGTATTGAACCACAGAACATTATCCAATAGAACATTTAGCTTGAACACTTAACGTAGCTTAAATATATATATTTTGCATTTGATCACGTTCGTCATGATGAGCAAATTAACAAGGTCTTTCAAACCAAAGTGACTCAGGTTCATGATACTGAAGGTGTAGAATTGACGGGTAGCAGGAGTCACGCAAAATGAAAGAGGCGCCGAACATATAGTAAAAGACGAGACAGAAGTAAAGGCAACTTTGAATAGAAACTACCTCCTGTTTATCCTGCCTACCCGCTCCTTGGGCTGCGCTGTGCGCTCATCTACTGCTTCAACCTCGCCTGTAACAAATTAAAATGGCACCTAGATAAAAATGTACCAATTTCACCTGTCCACTTTGCAAACTCAGGAAAGGCTACTTCTAAAAGTTAATATTTACTTAACATTTTTTTACAAGTTAAATGGAACGATAATTTATGTTCACAAGTTCCTTGTTTCAGTCACCACCTTCGCCATCTTTCAGACCAAAAACACCTGCAAAAAAAAGAGTAAATGGAAAACGCAATCATGCAGGGTCGCTTTCGAGTGAATCGTGTAATCGAATGACATATAATTATAGTAAGAGGCAGCAACTTCCAATTGTTCCCGCTAAAACATCGAACTGCTATCGCTAAAATCTTAGGACTATCGAAAAACGTGCGTCAAATTTATGAATTGTTATCGCTATCAAAATCTCGGGGATACGGCCAAAAAGTCAGGGGTATCGCTTAAAAAAAAACAGTCGCTATCGCTGGCTATCGCTGATAGTTCATTGCTACCGCTACAATATTCAGCTCTGGCGCAAAGATGTCAAGTTAACGTCGAGATCTCAGGGCTATTGACAAAATTGTCAGTATAAAAGAAAGCGAACAGAAGGAAGTTGCCCTTTGTACATTTGTCAGAGAAGAAAGGCTGCGAAACCAAATGCTTCTGGAACTACTTGGGCCAGAATAACTGCTCACAGATCTTCCACTATGCTTCTACATTCTACCGTAATTATCATGTCGCTCTCAGCTTGCTCTGGGTCGCCGGGGATGAACCTAATTTAAAGTGAATGCAATGTTTTTCTTTATCAAATAATCACCTCAAGAAAAGTATTTTTACTCTAACGTTTGTTCTCAGCCAACGTTCTCTACATTTTTATTTCAGTCAGTTTTTTCCGTCATGGAGAATTCAGGGCATGCCTTACGAAATATTCAGCACATACCCGTGTGAAATACCTCCATGGAATTCCATGGAAATCCATGGAAATCTATGGAAATCCATGGAATTTCACGGAACTTCCATGGAATGCCATGGAGTTCCATGGAGTATCCATGGAGTTCCATGGAATGCCATGGAGTTCCACGGAGTTCCATGAAGTAGTGATGGAGTTCCATGGAATGCCATTAAATTCCATGGAGTTTCCTTTGAGGTCCATGGAATTCCAGGGAATATTGTAGAGTTCCATGGAATGCCATGGGGTTCCCTGCAGTACCGATGCAGTTTCATGGAATGCCATGGAGTGTCCATGGAGTTCGATAGAATACCAGGCAGTTTGTATGAGAAAACCCATAGAAATTCAGTAATCAAGCAACTCATCAACTCGTTAACCACATGTTCAAGTCTACACTTTTTATTCGATAGAAAAATAGGAAACATTTGGAAGCTTTCTCAAAGCAAAATAGTGCATTTAGTTTAAATTACACAGACAATGCAAAAGTATTGTTCACCGAAAGGCGACGCTGAAAGTCCCAGTGTAAGAAATTTTATTGCTAACTATAAAGAGGAATGTTTTGAGTGCTTAATAAAAAAATGATCCTGTTAAAAAAAATAAAATAGAAAATATTCGTTTTTTAGAAGGGCTGTCTGCCATTTATCTTTTAAAAGCAGTGTTGCATTTAAAATATGAGAAGATCACTGTTATTAACAACATGCAGTTGCTTCATTACATTGACACAGTGCATATATTCCTACAGGACCCATACACCGACGTGTATTTGCTATGAAATACGGGATCAAGTCTCTACTTGAAATTTATATGAAATTTTCAAGTCTCTTGAAATTTCTGATCAACAAATTTCCATGAGAGTGTAAGTCTCTTTAACCACTGTTCCATTTTTAAGGAAAAAAATTTCAGTGGCAAATTTTGAAAAGACGAAAAATTCGATGTGGCAAGACTGAGAACCGATCCAGGAGCGTAGAATTCACAGTTCGTAACCTAACCACTCTACCACGGAGTAGTAACTCGCTGCTTTTTACTCATATAAAAACAACCGTAACCCTAATTAGAAGCTAACCGTTTCGAGTCAGTGCTTTAATAGCCCTAATATATCAGATTAGTCGGCATCCCGTATGAATAGCAAATACAAGACGATGTACGGGTCCCGTACTTAAATAGCCAGTAGAAAATGATCCCAGTACAGGGTTGTCGTTAAGAGCCGGGGGCCGGGGATTTTCCCCGGCTACTAAGAGAGTGGCCCCCGGCTACTTTTATTGGAAAATAGAAGAAAAATAGAACCAAAAGAAATCCCTAGCCGTTTGATTCCCCGCCTTCTTGTTGTATTTACCCGGCAACTTGAAATCTTAGTGACAACCCTGCCAGTAGGCACATAACTCATCTCGCTATCGAAGTGTTTTTGGTTGAGAGCTAAGATTTCCCTATATTACTCGATTCCAACCTGATTGATGACATTGCTTTGCATGGAGTATTTCGGCGAACCTACACAAGTAATATTAGAGCTTTTTTGCCGCATCCGTGGATAGGCTAGTCTGCTACACAGCCGTTTTTAGTGGGGAGGAGCGTTGCGTGACGACACTAAGAACGGCTGTGTATCAGGCTATGAATAGGCCTGCTGCCTTTTTTCAAAGGTTCCCTCACCTGGGAGAACAATGCAATATTTTCCTCTCACTGCTTTACTCTTCGACAGTGTCGGAATAGTACAATTAACTCTGAAAGGGACCACAATTTAAAGCCTTTAAAGACAGACATCTCCACGATCGTGCCGTGATTTGACGCCATGTTTGGTGCATGAACTGGCGTCCAGGCCTCCCTGCTTAGTGACTTACACGATCACGTGGGGCTTTTGAACCAATAGAAATGCGTAGAAGATCAGTTTTCTTTGTTCGAATCTTTAGGCGGACTTCTGTGCAGTACGACAGTGTGTGTCGGATTGTCTTTGCAATGAATGCATCCGAAAAAGATGTTATTATCAGCGCAAAATATCACTTGTGAGGTTGCTTACATTTAACTTGTTTCAAATCGACTTCGATTGAACAATGACTCAGCTGGATCGCACATTAAAGGAGGAAGGTAAGCTTAATATGTACACAACTCGTGTTTGGTTGCTCAACTGAATTCGTCCGCTCGATTGTCTCTGCTAGATTTAGAAGGGTGACTTTTCGGGTGCTGTTCATCGGTTTTAATATGTAGTTTTCATCTTTTTCGTTTAAACTGATATGAATGTGGTCTTTCTTGCAAATTACCTTTGGAATCCTTCGGAATAGTTACTAATTCTAGCAGAATTAGTACCTCGATGGACTGCTTCGATGTATAAGAAGAAATATCATATTTAGAATTTTCATGCCTGCTACGTAAAAACTGTACAAGAGACTGATAAATTATAATTGTGGCTGACGCCGTTTTTCCCAAGGATTAGGTAGGACTTTGCTATAACTAAATACCATGGTTCTGATCGAGGAAATAAGTAGCACTTCCCTTTTTCGCCGCATGAATTAAAGTCATGCTTAAGTCTTACATAATGACGTACGGTTTATGCATTCATTAGTATTAGCTTATTTTTTTCTCTCAATTATGCATCTGTTCGCCTGTTACTTTTCTTAAATACCAGGCCAAGATTCCTTGCTTTATATTAAATCTAAATTATTCATTTAAGCTACTTCAATATTATTGCTGCATTCTAAAGTGCAATGTGTATAGTCACAAGTAAACATTAATTTGTTTTAGCTACAGTATGTCAAATTTTCCGTCAAAAGCATGTTAACTTTTGATTGATATCTTTAAAAAGAGATTTATGTGGTCCTTTTATTGATTAAATAAATTGCAGCGGACCAAACCCGTGTGAAAAACCTCCATGGAATTCCATGGAAAATTCTCCATGGAATTCCATGGAGGATTAGGACATCAAATTCCATGGAATTCCATGGAAATTTCTCCATAGATTTCCATGGAAAATATTTGCATGGAGGATTAGGACATTTCCCATGGAATTCCATGGAAAACATTAGGACACCAATTTCCATGGAAATTTCTGCATCGACATTTTCCATGGAATTCCATGGAAAAGTTCCATGCAATTCCATAGAAACTACTCCATCGATTATTCCATGCATCTCCAGGGAGTTTCATGGAATTCACAGGAATTACACATTTAAAATATCCAGTGAATCAAATGGAATACATAACAGATTTTGGTCCACTGCAATTTATTTAATCAACAAAAGGACCACATAAATCTCTTTTTAAAGATATCAATCAAAAGTTAACATGCTTTTGGCGGAAAATTTGACATATTGTAGCTAAAACAAATTAATGTTTACTTGTGACTATACACATTGCAGTTTAGAATGCAGCAATCATAGTGAAGTAGCTTAAATGAAAAATTTAGATTTAATATAAAGCAAGGAATCTTGGCCTGGTGTTTAAGAAAAGTAACAGGCGAACAGATGCATAATTGAGAGAAAAAATAAGCTAATACTAATGAATGCATAAGCCATCCGTATGTAAGACTTAAACATGGCTTTATTTAATGCGACGAAAAAGGGAAGTGCTACTTATTTCCTCGATCAGAACCATGGTATTTAGTTATAGCAAAGTCCTACCTAATCCTTGGGAAAAACAGCGTCGGCCACAATTATAATTTATCAGTCTCTTGTACAGTTTTTACGTAGCAAGTATGAAAATTATAAAGACTTTGTTTCTTCTTATACATCGAGGCAGTCCATCGACGTACAGTCTTCGATTTTATCAGTCTCTTGTACAGTTTTTACGTAGCAGGCATGAAAATTCTAAAGACGATATTTCTTCTTATACATCGAAGCAGTCCATCGAAGTAGAGTCTTCGATTTCTAATTCTGCTAGAATTAGTAACTATTCCGAAGGATTCCAAAGGTAATTTGCAAGAAAGACCACATTCATATCTGTATAAACAAAAAAGATGAAAACTACATATTAAAACCGATAAACAGCACCCGAAAAGTCACCCTTCTAAATCTAGCGGAGACAATCGAGCGGACGAATTCAGTTGAGCAACCAAACACGAGTTGGGTACATATTAAGCTTACCTTCCTCCTTTAATGTGCGATCCAGCTGAGTCATTGTTCAATCGAAGTCGATTTGAAAAAAGCCAAATGTAAGCAACCTCACAAGTGATATTCTGCGCTGAAAATAACATCTTTTCCGATACTTTGTTTGCAAAGACAATCCGTTTACACAACACTGTCGTACTGCACAGAAGTCCACCTAAAGATTCGAACAAAGAAAACTGATCTTCTACACATTTCTGTTGGTTCAAAAGCCCCACGTGATCGCGTTAGTCACTAAGCGGGGAGGCCTGGACGCCAGTTCATGCACCAAACATGGCGTCAAATGACGGCACGATCGTGGAGATGTCTGTCTTTAAAGGCTTTAAATTGTGGTCCCTTTCAGAGTTAATTGTACTATTCCGACACTGTCGAAGAGTAAAGCAGTGAGAGGAAAATATTGCATTGTTCTCCCAGGTGAGGGAACCTTTGAAAAAAGGCAGCAGGCCTATTCATAGCCTGATACACAGCCGTTCTTAGTGTCGTCACGCAACGCTCCTCCCCACTAAAAACGGCTGTGTAGCAGACTAGCCTATCCACGGATGCGGCAAAAAAGCTCGAATATTGCTTGTGTAGGTTCGCCGAAATACTCCATGCAAAGCAATGTCATCAATCAGATTGGACTCGAGTAATATAGGGAAAATCTTAGCTCTCAACCAAAAACACTTCGATAGCGAGATGAGTTATGTGCCTACTGGGATCATTTTCTACTGGCTATTTAAGTACGGGACCCGTACATCGTCTTGTATTTGCTATTCATACGGGATTCCGACGAAACTGATATATTAGGTTTATTAAAGCACTGACTCGAAACGGTTAGCTTCTAATTAGGGTTACGGTTGTTTTTATATGAGTAAAAAGCAGCGAGTTACTACTCCGTGGTAGAGTGGTGAGGTTACGAACTGTGGATTCTACGCCCCTGGATCGGTTCTCAATCTTGCCACATCGAATTTTTCTTCTTTTCAAAATTTGCCTATGAAATTTTTTCCTTAAAAATGGAACAGTGGTTGAAGAGACTTTTCTTTCATGGAAATTTGTTGATCAGAAATTTCAAGAGACTTGAAAATTTCATATAAAATTCAAGTAGAGACTTGATCCCGTATTTCATAGCAAATACACGTCGGTGTGCGGGTCCTGTACGAATGGCAGCACTGTGTCAATGTAATGAAGCAACTGAATGTTGTTAATAACAGTGATCTTCTCATATTTTAAATGTAACACTGCTTTTAAAAGATAAATGGCAGACAGCCCTACTAAAAAACAATTTTCTCATTATTTTTTTTTAACAGGATCGTTTTTTTATTAAGCACTCAAAACATTCCTCTTTATAGTTAGCAATAAAACTTCTTACACTGGGACTTTCAGCGTCACCTTTCGGTGAACAATACTTTTGCATTGTCTGTGTAATTTAAACTAAATGCACTATTTTGCTTTTAGAAAGCTTCCAAATGTTTCCTATTTTTCTATCCAATAAAAAGTGCAGACTTGAACATGTGGTTAACGAGTTGATGAGTTGCTTGATTACTGAATTTCTATGGATTTCTCATACAAACTCCACGGTATTCTATCGAACTCCATGGAGACGCTATGGCATTCCATGAAACTGCATCGGTACTTCAGGGCCCCCCATGGCATTCCATGGAACTCTACAATATTCCCTGGAATTCCATGGACCTCCAAGGAAACTCCATGGAATTTCATGGCATTCCATGGAACTCCATCACTACTTCATGGAACTCCATGGAACTCCATGGCATTCCATGGAACTCCATGGATACTCCATGGAACTCCATGGCATTCCATGGAACTCCATGCATACTCCATGGAACTCCATGCATACTCCATGGAACTCCATGGCATTCCATGGAACTCCATGGATACTCCATGGACGTTCCGTGGAATTCCATGGATTTCCATCGATTTCCATGGAATTCCATGGATTTCCATAGATTTCCGTGGATTTCCATGGATTTCCATGGAATTCCATGGAATTCCATAAAGGTATTTCACACGGGAAATCTGTTATGTTTTCCATTTGATTCACTGGATATTTTAAATTTGTAATTCCTGTGAATTCCATGAAACTCCCTTGAGATCCATAGAATAATCGATGGAGTAGTTTCTATGGAATTGCATGGAACTTTTCCATGGAATTCCATGGAAAATGTCGATGCAGAAATTTCCATGGAAATTGGTGTCCTAATGTTTTCCATGGAATTCCATGGGAAATGTCCTAATCCTCCATGCAAATATTTTCCATGGAAATCTATGGAGAAATTTCCATGGAATTCCATTGAAATTGATGTCCTAATCCTCCATGGAATTCCATGGAAAATTTTCCATGGAAATCCATAGAATTCCATGGAGGTTTTTCACACGGGAAACTCACAAAATAAAATGAATTGGAGATTCGTTCTCCTATCTTCTCTGTACAGAGAAGAATAACACAGCAGATAATGGGACTAACAAAACAATGTCTCCCGTTGCAGAATTTTGCATCAGAATGCGTTGTCACAAACATAAATTGTACATCTTTTGATTGGAAATACGTAACACTTAACAATATCCAAAAATGGTGTCAATTACTAACCTCTGAATGTCACATCATCTCCAATCAGCATAAACGGCGCCCACTGCTCAACGTGAGAGAAACGATTCTCTCTCATCCGTTTCATGGCCTGGTGAAGAGATTCACTTGCAGTTTCACCACGAACAAGGTGCTCGTAAAAATGATTCATAAACTGCATGGTAGCTTCGTCTTGTACAGCCCACAGTGCCGCCAACACGGCCCGTGCACCTGACGCTAGAAATGCTCGAGCAATTCCAACAACTCCCTCAGCTCTTGCTTGGCCACTAGCACTATGACAACAACTAAGGACAACCAGCTTGGCAGTCAGTCGAACTTGTGAAATTTCAGCCATCGTCAATAAGTAGTCCACTTCGTGCGGAGTTCCGCACGGGCTTATAGGGGAAAGAGCAATTTCTCCACGTTCCTCACACCCATGAGCAGCAAAGTGAATGAGACTTACGGAATGCATTCTTTCCAAGACTGCTTGCTTAGTAGCATCTTTTCCCAATAATGGCTCAACGCCGAGCAGTCGCCCAATCATCTCTCCTTCCATTCTTGCCCAAGGCAAAGGACATAATTGCAGAACTTTTCCCTGGTAGTATACATCACTGACCTCTGGCTCTCCTATGACTATTGCATCGGCTTTACTATGGTAGTCTGCTGGACTGTGCTGAATCAACCTTAGAGTCGTCAAGGAAGGTACAATACGAATCCTGAAAGTATCCGATAAATATTGTCCATTACCATCCTTTAAAGCTGCAAAGGGAATTGAGTACAACAATGGATCCGGTATGATAATGATTTCTGATTCTTGTAGTAAGTCAGCTACAGGAGCAACGATGATGTTGTAGCCATCAGCAAGGGTAAGCGCCTCAGAGTCGTGCGTTTCGTGTTCCTCTTCTTCTATAAGGCGTAATGTTGCGAAGGTGTCATCCTGAGATGGTTTGCATGATGGCAGGGAGCTTAAATATGAAGAAAACAATGATCGATCTTCGCATTGTTCTTGACGTAACTTCTGAGGGCCAGCGAATCTTTGATTTTCAAACACTTTAGCTGCACTCTCTTTGAGTTCCGTTTGTCGAAAAACTATGGTTTTGTTTGGCTTAAGGATCCAAAAATACATATTATCATGGAAACAGGATAGGTATAAACAGGCACTAAGGGCATTTTTGCTCATGATATTCTCAACACCAACCCATGATTGTGGGTTCACTGATACCTCTTTTTCCACAGAGTACTTATCTGACAGTATGTCTGCAAGTGCTCTGGACCGTCCAAGCTCGGCAACGTAAAGAGCTTCATTGATACTGCCTGTAGCAGTCAACAACCCACAAAGATGAAGGTAAGGGGAGATATGCTCATCAAAAAAAGAAATTTTGAATTGATCTTTCACTCTGAAATAATCATGCATTTCTTCGCACTTTTGAATGCTTTCATAGAGATTTCGCACAACTTCAGTTATGCTTCCTGCTGCCACTAACGTATTCAGGGCAATGGTAAGGTGGCTGTGAAACTGCAATTCAATGTCCCGTATTTCGTAACTTATCTCAAGTGCTCTTTTGGTAAATTCTTGACTCTTCGCATTAAGCTGGAATTCTGGACAAAGTTTTCCCAGTTTTAAGTATAAAGCTCCAACACCACATTTAACTCCGATTTCTTCATTGATCGTCAGTGCTTTTTTAAGGTATTCTTCAGCCTTGGTATATTGACCAGCAGATTGGAACACACTTCCTAGATTTCCGTAATCTGATGCTTCTCCTTTTCTGTCACCGATTTCTTTCCTGATCACTAGAGCTTTTTGAAGGTATTCTTCAGCCTTGGTATATTGACCAACAGATTGGAACACAGCTCCTAGATTTCCGTAAGCTGATGCTTCTCCTTTTCTGTCACCGATTTCTTTCCTGATCACTAGAGCTTTTTGAAGGTATTCTTCAGCCTTGGTATACTGACCAACAGAAAAAAACACAGGTCCTAGATTTCCGTAATCTGATCCTTCTCCTTGTTTGTCACCGATTTCTTTCCTTATCACTAGTGCTTTATGAAGGTGTTCTTCAGCCTTGGTATATTGACCAACAGATTGGAAAACAGTTCCTAGATTTCCGTAAGAATATGCTTCTCCCTGTTTGTTACCGATTTCTTTCACGATTACTAGTGCTTTTTGAAGGTATTCTTCAGCCTTGGTATATTGACCAACAGATTGAAACACAATTCCTAGTTTTCCGTAATCTGATGCTTCTCCTTCTTTGTCTCCGATTTCTTTCCTAATTACTAGTGCTTTTTGAAGGTATTCTTCAGCCTTGGTATATTGACCAACAGATTGGAACACATTTCCCAGATTTCCGTAATCTGATGCTTCTCCTTCTTTGTCACCGATTTCTTTCCTGATCACTAGAGCTTTTTGAAGGTATTCTTCAGCCTTGGTATATTGACCAACAGATTGGAACACAGCTCCTAGATTTCCGTAATCTGATGCTTCTCCTTGTTTGTCATCGAATTCTTTCCTGATCACTAGTGCTTTTTTAAGGTATTCTTCAGCCTTGGCATATTGACCAACAGATCGGAACACAGTTCCTAGGTTTCCGTAATCTGATGCTTTTCCTTTTTTGTCACCGATTTCCTCCCTGATCACTAGTGCTTTTTGAAAGTGTTCTTCAGCCATGGTATATTGACCAACAGATTGGAACACAGTTCCTAGATTTCCGTAAGAATATGCTTCTCCTTGTTTGTTACCAATTTCTTTCACGATTACTAGTGCTTTTTGAAGGTATTCTTCAGCCTTGGTGTATTCACCGACAGATTGAAACAGAGTTCCTAGATTTCCGTAATCTAATGCTTCGCCGTCTATGTCACCGATTTCTTTCCTGATTACTAGTGCTTTTTGATAATATTCTTTAGCCTTGGTATATTGACCAACAGATTGGAACACAGTTCCTAGATTTCCGTAATCTGATGCTTCTCCCTTTTTGTCACCGATTTCTTTCCTGATCTCTAGAGCTTTTTGAAGGTATCCTTCAGCCTTGGTATATTGTCCAACAGACTGAAACGTAGTTCCTAGGTTTCCATAATCTGTTGCTTCTCCTTTTTTGTCACCGATTTCTTTCCTGATCACTAGTGCTGTTTGATGGTGTTCTTCAGCCCTGGTATATTCACCAACAGATTGGAACACAGTTCCTAGGTTTCCGTAAGAATATGCTTCTCCTTTCTTGTCACCGATTTCTTTACTCATTACTAGTGCTTTTTGAAGGTATTCTTCAGCCTTGGTATATTGACCAACACACTGAAACACAACTCCTAGATTTCCGTACTCTGATGCTTCTCCTTTCTTGTCACCGATTTCTTTACTCATTACTAGTGCTTTTTGAAGGTATTCTTCAGCCTTGGTATATTGACCAACAGATTGGAAGACAGTTCCTAGAATTGCGTAACCTGCTGCTTTTCCTTTTTTGTCTCCGATTTCGTTACTAATCACTAGTGCTTTTTTAAGGTATTCTTCAGCCTTGGTGTATTGACCAACAGATTGAAACACAGTTCCTAGATTTCCGTAATCTGATGCTTCTCCTTCTTTGTCTCCGATTTCTTTCCTGATTAGTAGTGCTTTTAGAAGGTATTCTTCAGCCTTGGTATATTGACCAACAGATTGAAACACCGTTCCTAGATTTCCGTAAGCAGATGCTTCTCCTTGTTTGTCACCGATTTCTTTCTTGATCACTAGTGCTTTTTGAAGGTATCTTTCAGCCTTGGTATATTTACCAAGAGATTGAAACACAATTCCTAGATTTCCGTAATCTGATGCTTCTCCTTCTTTGTCTCCGATTTCTTTCCTGATCACTAGTGCTTTTTGAAGGTATTCTTCAGCCTTGGCATATTGACCAACAGATTGGCACATATTTGCTAGATTTCCGTAATCTGATGCTTCTCCTTTTTTGTCACCGATTTCCTCCCTGATCACTAGTGCTTTTTGAAAGTGTTCTTCAGCCATGGTATATTGACCAACAGATTGGCACATATTTGCTAGATTTCCGTAAGAATATGCTTCTCCCTTTTTGTCACCGATTTCTTTCCTGATCACTAGTGCTTTTTGAAGGTATTCTTTAGCCTTGGCATATTGACCAAGAGATTGAAACACACTTCCTAGATTTCCGTGATCTGATGCCTCTCCTTCTTTGTCTCCGATTTCTTTCCTGATCACTAGTGCTTTTTGAAGGTATTCTTCAGCCTTGGCATATTGACCAACAGATTGGCACATATTTGCTAGATTTCCGTAATCTGATGCTTCTCCTTGTTTGTCACCGATTTCTCTCCTGATCACTAGTGCTTTTTGAAGGTATTTTTTAGCCTTGGCATATTGACCAACATATTGGCACATATTTGCTAGATTTCCGTAAGAATATGCTTCTCCCTTTTTGTCACCGATTTCTTTCCTGATCACTAGTGCTTTTTGAAGGTATTCTTTAGCCTTGGCATATTGACCAAGAGATTGAAACACACTTCCTAGATTTCCGTGATCTGATGCCTCTCCTTCTTTGTCTCCGATTTCTTTCCTGATCACTAGTGCTTTTTGAAGGTATTCTTCAGCCTTGGCATATTGACCAACAGATTGGCACATATTTGCTAGATTTCCGTAATCTGATGCTTCTCCTTTTTTGTCACCGATTTCTTTCCTGATCACTAGTGCTTTTTGAAGGTATTTTTTAGCCTTGGCATATTGACCAACAGATTGAAACACACTTCCTAGATTTCCGTGATCTGATGCCTCTCCTTCTTTGTCTCCGATTTCTTTCCTGATCACTAGTGCTTTTTGAAGGTATTCTTCAGCCTTGGCATATTCACCAACAAATTGGCACATATTTGCTAGATTTCCGTAATCTGATGCTTCTCCTTTTTTGTCACCGATTTCTTTCCTGATCACTAGTGCTTTTTGCAGGTATTCTTCAGCCATGGTATACTGACCAACAGATTGGCACATATTTGCTAGATTTCCGTAATCTGATGCTTCTCCTTTTTTGTCACCGATTTCTTTCCTGATGACCAGTGCTTTATTAAGGTATCTTTCAGCCTTGGTATATTGACCAACAGATTGGAACACAGCTCCAAGATTTCCGTAACATATTGCAACTCCCCAATTGTTTCCAGTCTCAATCATGATGCTGAGTGCCTTCTCGTAAAACTGTTTCGCTTCCTCGTATTTTCTTCTTCGGTAGTAAATGTACGCTAGTTTAATTAATATTATCCCTTTTTCGTCTTTTTGGCCACTATTGTGTAGTGTCACGTGAAGTTTTTTACCACATTCTATCGCACTCGTGTGATCGTACATAAGAGTATAGCCATCAAGAAGTTTATGGTATACATAAATAACAAGTGGTGTGGTAAGTTCATTGATTGTCTCTAGGGCTTTGCGGTTAAGGAGCACCAAACATTCGTTAAAGATTTGTACTGCTTTTATAATGCGTCCAGTGTTGAAAAGGAAAGTTGCAACGACTACACCAATATGAATGGTCTGTAGAATATCCAAGATGTTGTCCATGACGCTTTTTTCTTAACCTTGAGAAAAAATATATTTTAAGAGTAAGAATGTGGAAACAAGATTCTTAGGCATAAAACAGCAAACATACAACAGTAGCTGAAAATAAAGTTTTTGCTTTATACAAACACATAAATCGAACTAATTCATCTGACTTGCCAGTAGCCAGGAATATTTTCAGTCAAATTTTATTAGTTCAACAGTATGAATAAAGGGAAAATTAAGCGTATAATTGTTATCCTAAAAAAAGCGAAAAACACATTTTTGTGGGTCTGAAAGGGGTTTAGTGTTTAGTGTTATTTGCCCATCTTTTTTAGTGTTTGCTGTTAAATTGGCCAGTTTTTTAACGTTTACTGTTTCCGGAGAAAATACTGTTAAGTGTTTGAAGGGTTCATCGGACATCTTCGGCAATGGTTGGACCTTTTCGCTAGTCTTCGGAAATCTTCGACAGTCCTTAACGATGTATGTGCTGAACATTGTTATAAAATTTCTTCGCGAGTACGGAAAGAAACGAGTGAGAGAATTAGGGAAAATTCTATTGGAGGAGCTGAATGTATACCTTGGTGAATTTATTATTGCAGCTAGAAAGAAGAAAGAAGAGCAATCTTCTCTCAGAGGAAATAAGCCGAATACAACTACTTTCTTACTTTTTTACTACAACTATTTTCTTTGAAAAAAAAATCTTGGGAACAAGTTATCCACAATCGCTACTGAACACTGTGTGGCTAAATAATATTTTACACTTCGATTTCAGAGCTTGTACAGAACGACGAAATTTAAGTTGGGGCGATGCTGTTTTGGAGACTGACAGTCAAGGCAAAGTATATATTGTCCATTCAGAGAGACAAAATAAGAGCAGACAGGGCGACAACTGACGGAATGTTAGGCCTGTAAAACCAATCCTTTTTACATAACCACAACAGGTCTCGAATCTAGGAAAGTGTAAATGGATTTTATACAGAAACGTTTGATTTCTTTAAATGAACTGAATGACACCTCATTATTTTATGGTCTTGGTACGATTAAGCAATTTAGTCCTTAAAGCTCACTGGTTATAACATAGATTAAAGTAGCCTACAGAGCAGGTGCTTTTTAAACGGAAACTCAGAGGTACATTGATCGCGGCTGTCATATTAAAAAGCCAAGGAAAAGACTAAGGGAGGAGGGGCGGGAAATGACTTGCATATGGCAGTGTAAGTAGGCGCTTTAGATCGTTGGAGTACAGGAGACAAAAACTAGTATTTGTAGAGTGAATGTGTTTATAAAAATATTAAATAATTGATAACCTTAAAAAAAAAAGTATTACAGTGTCGGTTTCGGTCCACATCCATATGGCAATATTAAGCGTATATTAATATTTATTACCTTATATTACGCTGATATCGATAAAAAAAAGTTTCATCTGCGCTTTACATACATTTCTAGTACAAATTCGGGTTCTAAAAATCTAAAATCATTGACAATAAATTGATTCAATGACAACTACCTGATTAGTCTCAAAATGTTATTTACAAACCCTACTTTAACCGGGGCCACTCAGACAAAGTTGGCCAATATTAATCAAGTACAGGAAAAAAGAAAGTTATTTTGTCATCTACCAGCAATTCCTTGCTACCATTGCCGCTCTTTACAATAATATTACGACCTCAAGACAAATTCTAGCTATCCAAATTCTAAAAAACAATGACTAATTATACTTCAACCTCCTATTTACAAATCTTGTTTAGGGCCTGTTTACATGAAGGTGGGGGGCCCCAGGTAGGTGAGGTAACCCGCCACATGTTACCTCACCTACCTGGGGTCCCCACCTCTGTGTAAACAGGCCCTTAGTCTTTAAAAAAAAAAATAACAAAAAGCTAGTAAGGGCCTTCTTAAAACTATTCATATACAAGATATATTTCTACTAAAAAGTGGGAGATCGTTCCATAATTTGGGAGTAGCCATTTCAAAAGATAGATCACCCAGCGTGGTAAATTATTCTAAAATTTGATGTCAAACGATATCTGCCACCTAAGTTTCTTTAACAGATACAACTTCAGAAATGCCAGGTGGTGTAATTTAATGAAGGGAACTAAAACTGCTAAACAAAGAAATCTTCAAATGAATGCAATACGGGTAACCAATGAAGGACTCTTAACTATGGTTTACAAACTGAAACTGTAAATATATGGCTAATGGTTTCAAATATTTGAATCCAGGGTTTACGCTTTCCTAACATTTGAAATCAGGTTTCAGATGTTTCAAACATTTGAGCTCTGGGTTTAGGCGTTGCAAACATTTGGATTTAGGTTTTTTGCGTTTAGAAACATTTGAGATCAGGGTTTTGGTGTTACAAACATTTTAATTCAGGGTTTACGCGTTCTGAATAATTTGCATTCATGATGGGTTGGGCGATCCAAAGATTTGAATTTAGGATTTGGGAGTTCCGAATATTTAAATTCAGGTTATAGGCGTTACAGACATTTGCATGAAACGTTTTGGGCATTCAAAACATTTAAGTTCAGGCTGTAGGCTTTCCAAACATTTGAAACCACGATTAAGGTCTTCCAAACAATGGAACCAAGGGTTTAGGCGTTTGAAAACATTGGAAATCCATGTTTAGCCATTTTAAGATTGCAAATTCAAGGTTTAGGCGTTCTAAACATGGGAATTCTTCTTCTTTTTTTTAAGCAATATTTATCCAGGGGCATCCAATTTAGAAGAGCTAGTATAAATGAAGCCCTGATACAACACAAAACCAAAGACATTAAAACACTAAAAATAGAAAATTAAGTTACAAAGGTAACATGTATCGCAGGCGTTACTATTTAAACTGTCGCTTTAGCTTGATTTTAAATTTGCTGAGAGTCTCTACTCGTCTAATGAGTCTCGGTAGGGCGTTTTAGGTCCGAGCACCGTTTATTCTGAAGCAACCTTGGTATTTAGTAGTTTTTTTGCGAAAGGAGGGCACAGAAAATCACGCCTTGTGGTGTTATAGCCACGGAAAAGGTGCGCGTGCCTAAACTCTGAAAGTAAATACGAAGGCATTATTCCGTGAAGACACTTATGGTCTAAAACGCATTTGAGATAATTTATGCGTGCTTGTAGGCTGGACCAGCCAAGAGTTGATTTTAACTCCTCAGCCCCGATATATCGACCTTCAATAATACATGCAGCGCGTCTATTTAGCTTATCTAGATAAGCTTTGCTCCCAACCTCACAACTGTCCCAGACAGGCGAACAGTAATCGAACAATGGCAAGACTAAAGTATTGTAGAGCATTCGACAAGTTGGCTTGGGAAGAACCTTACGTGCTCGACGCAGAAAACCTAATCTAGACGAGATCTTATTACCGATAAATTCGATGTGGTCCTTCTAAGGTAGGGGTTGTCTAGGTGGATCCCAAGATATTTAAACTTGTCAACTCTTTCTAAACGCGTGTTACTGACTTCTATAACTAGATCGTCAAGCCTCCGCGGTCCTCTGAAGGGTGCCAACAAGGATAATCTTCGTTTTTTCTAGATTAAGTATTAGAATATCAGCGTGAAGCCAGCATAGGACATTATAGTTTTGAACTTCACTGACTGACATGCTTGCAAAATAGATCCCTGAAGTGTATCGTCAGCGTAAACCTCGACGCTACAACCTTGAACCGCCAGAGGTAAGTCATTTATGTAGATGATAAATAATAAAGAACCAAGTACGCTACCCTGACGGTACCCGAAAGATATGGGCTCAGACAAGACCCCATTAATGCAAACACTTTGGGTGGGCATGGTTAAATAGGATCTAAACCATTGGACAGCGATTCATTTTTAGTGAAGTTAACTCATCTCACATGATGCTATGATCTAAGGTGTCAAAGGCCTTGCTTAGGTCTAAAAATATAAGGCCAGTTAATAATCCTTTGTCAGTGTTTTCCAGCAGAGTGTTTGTCACGTGTGTGTGGCATGTGGACGAAGAGTGCAGTGGGCGAAAGCCGGATTGGAGAGAAGAAGAAGCCTGAGTGTGTTCCTGTAAAAAGCAGTACGGTGGACAGCCCGTTCAAGTATTTTGGAGAAAACTGGAAGTACTGAGTTTGGCCGGAAGTTCGATCGATCCGATTTCGAACCAGCTTTGTGATCCGGCGTGACGATAGCATGTTTTCTAATCAGCCGGTAACGTTCCTTCATTGATCGTTCTGTTCATAAGTAGCATTAGAAGTCTCGCCAGAGCCTCAGCCCCATCCTTTACAAGCTGTACAGGAGTTTTAGTGGTTCCGAAGATTGGAATTTTTTTCAAGGGACTTACGACCAAGTAACCGTCTTGCAATGCAAACTTATCTCTATGAAGTAGATGTTACCGCGATGATCGGAGCTATGAACACTTGCAAAGAAAAGGTGTTGATGTTACAAAATATCATCAAAACTGGCCTTGATTTTGTTTTGCCGATGAAGCCTAAAACTGTTCACCCAACAGGGCCACCATGGATAAATTCCACTTTAAAGAACTTGATTCGGAAGCGACAAGTGGCCCTGGGCCGAGGAAACCGAGCGGAGTTTAACTATCTGAGAATCTTGTTACCCAAGAACGTAAAAAATGCCGCGCGAAGTATTACGAGTGTAAAGTGCAACACCTAAAGGGGTGTTCCCCAGCTGGGTGGTGGGGAGAAATCAAGAGACTCAGTGGAATGAAAGGGCCCGTTGGGTCACATGATAATGTCTTAAAGTCCATTCATCACTTAGAATGTGCCCGTGGTCTATCAGCAGACGATATTGTGGACCACATCAACACAAATTTCTTAGCCCCATTGGAGGATTTCGAACCGCACACAAGCAATCCATTCAGGGAGGACGTTTCTGTGTGCTCCAGCAGAACTGTGAATGATGATTTCTTAACGGTAACAGAGTTATCTATTCTTAAAAAGTTATGCTCTATTAACCCAGCCAAAGGCACAGGAACCGGACAGTATCCCCGGATGGCTCTTAAAGGAGAACGCGGACCTTTTGGCCCCACCCATCATGGACATCATGAATAGGGATCTT